TTTACGTAAAAAAATTCAGTTTCAATCCCACTTATGCTTTTTATCCTTTTGCCCCCTCTCACTCACTCCCTCACTTACTTTTTGTCGTTTCTCCTTCGGTGCGTGTAATGCACACACAGTGATCACACCAGTATACTTTTCTTCGTGGAGTTCGGGTAAAAGCCAATCAGCTTTAGGGTTACTGGAGAAGAACATCTGTTGATTGATAGTGGTTTTGTGTCGTTTGTTCTTTCGGTGTGTTGATGTGTCTGTATGTCTGTAGCATAATTGGAGTTTCGAACATTTGTCCACATTTGTACTGGAGTTTTTGATGGATTACTTTTATGTGTTAAATGGATTGCTACTTTTGTTCTATAATCTGTCAATTATCTCTGTTCATCCAGTGGTACAATCCTTACGTTCTGTTCAATCCACTGCATATAATTGTTTCAATGAAGATTATGGCCGTCTGATGGAGCATATGTCAGATTATATATATTATTTATACATGCATAAAAACAGGAGGTTGATGACATATATTTTTTGTGTCTTATGCTTTAGAGGAAGAGCTTTTCTTATTACCACTTGATTCATAATGTATTGTTTCTGGTATGGCGTGCTTGTTTGGAACTGTGTGTCAATTTGAGTTAATGTATTCAATATGCCATTAACATATTCGAATACCAATGAAATTATCATTCATTTTCCGGTTTAGTACTGTTGGTTGTACTTGGTCAGATAAAAATATTTAATGCATGAAGTTCTATGATGTGATTAATAGATATTGCATGTCTGTTCGCTTGTTTAGTCGAGTGACCTTTTGATTCTGTTGATTTTCTTGATTAGTTTCAACAATGGTGAGAAAAAGTTATATTGAGCTTCCTGGAGTCAGTGAGAGCTCTGGGTCTCAGCAATCTGGTGGACGTCAAGGCGCTGAGCAGTATCCACCCATTCAGCAATCATTTCAAAATCTTCAACATGGAGGAGGATGAAGGGGCAGGGGTGGCACACGTGGAGGATATGGTGGCCGTGGTGGTGGGGGTGCATACAACAATTATCCTTATTGATGAAGAAGATGGTCAGGGGGTCCCAGGTGTGTTTTTTGATCCTTCATGGCATTAGATTTGTTTTACATAACTGTCCTTCAATTTTCACTTCTAGCCTATGGGTTTTGATATGTTTTGCAGGAGGAACTACCAGTTGGTGTTTTACAATGAACATTTAATTGTCAACCAGAGCATTCGCCCTACTCACATGGGGTTGTCGCTGAATATTGGTGAGCTGTCTCTTTCTGATTATCTAGTTTGTTGTTGCTTTGTTTCCTTTAATGGCTGTTTTGCTCAGTCAGGCATCCTTTTTTTTATTAGATAGAATGTTCTTATCTTAAATTATGGGTCTTGATGGAGCAGATGTGGCTTCCACTGCTTTCATTGAGCCGCTTCCAGTGCTTGATTTTGTAACCAAGCTTCTGAACAGGGATGTCTCAGCTAGATCTTTGTCTGATGCTGACCGTGCAAGGTTTAATTTTCTTACTCATCTGCCATCTCGATGCCCTGTATTGAAATGTTCTTTCTGGTTTCATTCTTTTACCAAGATAAGATGTTTTGCACTAACTTTCCAGTGGATACATTCTTAAAGTTCTACATCTTTAGCTGTGATATGTATATGTGGACAGCATGTGTTCACTTCTAACATTATCTGAATTGGAATAGATAAAAAAAGGCACTGCGTGGAAGTTGAGGTTACTCATAGAGGAAACATGCATCAGAAATACCGCATCTCTGATGTGACTCCACAAACAACAAGGGAGCTAACGTAAGATTCAAATACTGTACTTGTTTGGATTTGATACATTATATTTTAAAGAAACTGTTTATCCAAATGAAATTAGTTATTGATATCTATCGATTGAGCATCATATTTGGTTTATGTAACTTTGTGAAATCCATCAGCTTTATTTTTATCCAACAAATTTCTGCCAATAGAAGTTTGCGAATGAGGGAGGTTATGATGGTGCTCGTTTTTGCGGGATTTTAGCCTGCCACCATTTTCTGCCATTCACCACTGGTAACACTGGGTTTATCTTTTATTATCTTATAAAAGTGTTGCCTTGTGTAATATGTACTGCACTTTAATCCAGAATATAAGTGCTAAGCTATTTTCTGATCTTGAATGAGGTGCCGGATCCTTTAGTTTTTTTGTGATATGCGGTGCTCTCGCGCTTTTCCAAATTAACTTTGTCACTTCACATCCATTTATTCTTGTCATCTGAACTTGAGCTGCTTTTTGTTAGATTTCCTGTTGATGAGAGGAGCACAGTGAAATATGTGATTGACTACTTCATAGAAACCTACGGATATGTCATAAAACATCCTCTGGCCTTGTCTGCAAGTGGGAAACTCTCAGAAACCCAAATTATTTTCCAATGGAGGTGTGCAAGATAGTCGATCGCGGGACAGAGGTCCTACAAGAGGTTAAATGAGTGGCAAATTACTGAACTCCTCAAAGTCACATGCAAACGTCCCCACCCACCTAAGAGAGAAAGACATAGTTGAGGTTTGTACAATATACAAATGTCTTTGACCTGCCTTCTATGGTTTCATATGTGCTATAGTTTTTCTACGGATTGTGATCAAGCATTTGATGTGGGTTGGCTGTGACCATTATTTTGCTTATGCAATTTCAAATCTTGTTTGATGTGTTTTGTAATTTTCATGTGGGTTTTTGGAGTTTATATTCCTGTTGTTTACCAGTCTTCAAGTTGTTTAACAATGTTCTTTTGTTAGACTGAAACGTAATGGCTAAGCTTCAGACTCTTATGCGGAGGAGTTTGTTTAACTTTTAGTGTTTGTAATCTATGTGTTAATTGTAATTTTATGTGTCCATTTAATGGAGTCCATATCGATATGAACTTTTGACAATGGTTATGACTTATGCGGACTCCTAATTATAAAACACCCCACTTAATTTATAAATAATAAAAATTAATAGCATTTTTTTATTTGTTTTACATTTGATATTAATTAATTATCTTTATACAATCTTAGATTTGGCAATTGCATTTAATATAAATAAAAAACAACTACTACTTTTATTAATAAAAATTAATTTAGCGATCAATTCTATTATGAAATAAATAAAAAAATATTATAATATAGGTAAAAGTAACAATAATAATGTATTGTTTAAAAAAAATATTTGAAAATTAATAATAAACTTCTATTTAAAGT